GTTTCGGCAGTCCGCAACCCGGAAAAACACAACCTGAAGTGTCTGTACCCCGAGGTATGACTGTAGTTTCATTTCACGTCATACATGATTGTTCCACAAGCCAGACACACACTCCAACACAGCATCCTCATTTAATATTAAAACTGCAATGCATCATTGTCAGAAACAACAAAACTATGTGGAACAAACTCCAGCTTCTCATTTACATACCTCCACACAACCCACAAAGCAAGTCAAACACTACCCGGCAAACCCCACAACCTCTGGAGTTCATCTGAAACACCCTTCCCCACATCTGCAAGGATGTTTGTTTCTCAAGGGCCCTGAATATCTCAGAGACAACCTCCTCTCCCCCCTCTGTGTATTCTCATGATCTATAAGGGCTGTCTCCAACCTTTTTTAAAAAAAAAGATGCACCTTCGATACTATTTCTGGCATTTGCATTTAGCTCCCAGCAAAATTCCAGCTAGCTGTGTGTCTCAAGAAGTAAACAGCACCAAAAGCAACTGAAGCTTACCCCAGTTCTCTGACAAGGCACCAGGTTTCTTCACATTCCTAGGACAGGTCTTGCTTCCCCGCGTGGCAGGTGAATGCTGGCAGGATCCAGCACCAGGGCTATGGGGGATGAGAGCTAGTCCAGGAAAAGAGTTGGTGACCAATCTAAATGGAATTTGGGCAACTAGTTGAGTATCATTCTAGCTCAGGGGTCAGCAAACTTTTTCAGCAGTCCACTGTCCCTCAGACCTTGTGGGGGGCCGGACTATATTTTTTTGGGAAAATATGAACGAATTCCTATGCCCCACAAATAACCCAGAGATGCATTTTAAAGAAAAGGACAACATTCTACTGATGTAAAAACATGCTGATTCCCGGACCGTCCGTGGGCTGGATTTAGAAGGCAATTGGGCCGCATCCGGCCCCCGGGCTTAGTTTGCCTACCCATATTCCTAGCTCTCCAGGAGACACCAAAATGAGGAAATAAGCAGATCACGTTGAGTTGCATGGGGAACACTAAAGGGGGGGGGTGAAATCCAGATAATATATTGAATACCTATATATGGGTGCTTCCAGGCTGTCCTTGTTAGGGGTGGAATTCAATCACATACCAGGAAATTCAGGTTGCACAATTTGTTTGGAGCACTCACATGCTCAAATCACTTCCCTGTTGATCCCTACTTTGGGATGAACAGGACCCCCCCCCACCCTTGTGCTAGCTAACTTAATACTGACTTACTTCATAAGCCTTCAACATTTCTCCAATGAAAATAGGGGTGTCCCATTCAATAACAATCGTTTTATTCTTTACACCCCACCCATCCGACAGGGTTGCCCAGACACTCTGGAGCTTCCAACATATATAAAGACATAACAAAACATTTAAGAAACTTCCCTATAGGGGGCTGCCCTCAGATGGCTCAGGGTTTGGATAACTCCATACCCTCCAACATTTCTCCAGTGAAAATAGGGACGTCCTCAGGAAAAGCGGGACATTCTTGGGATCAAATCAGAAACTGGGATAGCTTCTCTAAATCAGGGACTGTCCCTGGAAAATAGGGACACTACTTGGAGGTTCTGTTACTTTCAGTTCGTAAGTTTATTGTTCTAGCCAGAGGCCATGACAAACATGTATGACACAATAGTATTAATAAAACAATACAGAGCATACATCCATAATATAAAAATCCATAATGTAATAAAAAAGACTTTGCCAAGTTCCTGAATTGGTGTGCAGTTGCAGCTTGGTTGGTTTGCTGGGGATAGCTCAGTTGGCAGAGCATGAGACTCTTAATCTGAGGGTGTGGGTTCAAGCCCTGCGTTGGGCAAAAGATTCCTGCTTTGAAGGGGGTTGGACTTGATGACCCTTGTGGTCCCTTTGTTTACCGGACAATCCGAGGGTTCTCTTGGACAAACAAAGACACCGACCAGAGCAAGTCAGAGCAAAACAGCAGCCAGTAGGCTTGGTCTTTATTAATAAAAGACTGTCGCGACAGGACTCCCACCGCCCACGAGGTGAAGCAAGATGGAAGCCCTGAACAATGGGAGACCCTAACTTTTATTAATCACTAATCCCCTTGACTACACCCCCAGAATTACATCATATTTACATCATGATTTTTATTAAGGAACAGGAGGAGTCGGGGAGGAGTTTCCAGGTAATCCGAGCAGCCTGTCACCTGGCAGTGACCTCCTCTCCCCCCTCCCCATAAGTCATTCTCAGAGACAAAGGAAAGGGCGAAGTCTTCCTGCCCCCTGGGGGGGGGGGTCCGGCCAGAGCCCTTTATTCGGAGTCATGTGGAATACACTACCGTATGCAGTCTATTGTGTTTCTGATGGGATGCTGTCTGAGCCCTCCTGATGGCTATCAAGGATGTCCCGCCATCCGGAGAAGGGCAGCTTGGTACGTGACTGCGCGGTTCAAGGATTATGGCCGATCAATCCGAATCCACCCCCCTTTGATAGTTCTTATAATATGCAGTGTAATAAAAGTGGTCCGGTGGAAATCCATAGTACGGCTGATTTTTGGTGAATTTGTAAAGAATACAGTCACTGAAGTTCAAAGCACTTCCCTTTCTCGGAAACAACTTGCAACATTTTGATTAGATCAGTCACGGTCAATTTAACTCGGAAACAATGTATTGAGAACTGTCAAAAGGTGAGGGAAGAGACGCTCGCAGCCTGCAGTACCAGCGTGGCCGCCGCAAGGGGCGCTGTTCGACAATGCTGATTGGCTGAGGCGGCTGCCGTTTGACCTAGAGTTCGGTCGTCCGGTCTACTCTCAAAAAGGATAGGGCGGCGCGGAGCGCTAAAGCCAAAAGCTGTCAAGCTAGCGCTTCCTTATTTACGGAAGGCTTTTAAGAGATGGCCCTCTAAAGGGACATCTCTTGGGTCAGGAAGGGGGGATACGGGTACGTGTGGATGCGGTGCTTGTGCAGTACGTGTTACTGAAGGGGGGGGGTGATTTCCGGCGACAGTTCCCCCCTTCGGAGATAAGATTGCGAAGGTAGAGAAACCGCGCAATCCTTTTCTCCGCACAAATCAATAAAAGTTCGACATGTCATACCTAGAGTCCAGATTCTGGAGGTCTTTCAGGGGCCCCATTTCAATGGGGTTCGACTGGGTTCCTGGTACCGGTGGTCTGAAGGTGATAGTCGATCGCGGGCGAGGGGTTGGAAGGCAAGAGTCGCAAGTTTGACAGCACATCGGGAAGCAATGAATTGCACAGCAAAAGACAGCAATGCAGATGGTCACAGTAATGAGGATCAAAAGTCCGTTCCCCAAGAGTTGTTTTATCCAGCCAGACCCAGGCAGCCAGCTCCACAACTGGGTATCTGAGAGTCCTTCATGTTGGATGTCTTTAAGTCCGTCCGCTAGTTTGTGGATGTTGTTAAGGTGTCCGGTAATATTAAGGGTTTGATCAGATACGTGTGTGCAGCACTCGGTTCCGACAAGGGCACAAACGCCTCCCGTCGAGGCGAGTACGTAGTCCAAAGCAAGGCGGTTCTGAATCGAAGTCTGCCTGACTTCCGTTAACTCTGTCAGGATAGCTTGGGTAGCCGCATTGGACTCCTCCATGAAGTTTAACAGGATGTCCGTTAATTTAAGGATATCGACGTGGTTGGAGCCGGCTCCATACGCGGGAAAGAGAGCCCGACCATAGGTTTCACTATTGGCCGCTACGTCGGAGAGTTGCGATAAGTCTTTTGCCCTCTTATTGCGCCTCCTTCCGGAGGGTAGATCTGGGGTGACCCGGACTCCAGGCAAAATTAGACCGAGATAACAAGTGCCACGGGAGTGGGGGCTGGCCCATACATAGCCGCGGTGGCCGCAAACCCAGAACAACCCCTGTAGGCACGAGTCTATGCGCCCGGTGAGGAAGGTACGGAAGAAACACTGGGAGACTGGGGAGGGGCTCCAGGAGTCGGGCAAGGTCATAACGCGTTTCCATGCAGACATCAGACTAGGTTGGATAGAGGGGTTGCCCTGGTGCCATAGGATAATCCTCCCGTTGAAAGCAATGTCAATGGTGTACTTACAGGTACTGTCGCCGATGAGCTTGTCGTTCCCGCTGAATTTCCGGCAAAGGTCGCCTGTTGTGGGTCCAGTTAGGTAGATGTACTGGTGGGTCAAATTCACGGCAGTCAGGTTCCAGGATTGCACGTCAGCGGAAAGATGTTGTTGCAGAGTGAGGGGTACTCCAAGAAATGGTATGCCGCTGTGCAGGTGTGAGGGGGCGTTGGCACAGATCCAGCACTCCTTGGTTATTGTCTGTTTTGCAATTTGAGAGATCAGTTTTACGTAGGTGTTGGAATGCCAAGTGGACAAAATGTCATTATTTTGAGAGTTTTCGGATATTGACAGTTCCCCCCTTTGTCGAGGTGCGGTACCGGGGGGTGAAGGGGGTCTTGACGGAGTAGGTAGGTGAGGTTTGTGGTGAGGCCGCCGCACCTTTGGGGTCCGGTAGTGTCCCATTCTGCTGGAGGCGTGACGGAGTAATGCCAACCCTCAAGGTACGCTTTCCCGTCCCAACTGGAGGCGAGTCCGATATCCCAGACGCAGCAGTACCGTCGGAGGCAAACTCCTTGTAGGATGGTTTGGCGGGGAGTGGAATCTACTCGTTGGCAGTAAAATCCATGAATTAGGTGGTCTGTGGGGTGATTTCGGTCAGTATAAACTGAGTCACCGCCCCCATTGTCCAGTAGTGTCCAGTTCAGGGTTTGTTCGGGTGTGCCATCAGAAAAGAGTACGTAAGAACCATTGAGGCAGTGTGCTCGATTCCAAGGGCCATCTCTGGTAAGGATGAGCCTGCCGAGTGGGGTGTAGGAGGGCGAACGAATAAAAAGTTCCCAAGTTTGATGAGCATCGAGGGTTGGCCGTATGGAATGTCGAAGGAGGACGCGGGTTTCAGGTAAGCAGAAGTCAAAATCTCCTAGGCGGTCTGGTGTCCCCCTTTTCACCATATCAACAACTCCAAAGTCCAGGTATTTGTACTCCGTTTGTAATCCAGGGCAAGAAGAATGCGTGACCGTGGGGTTTTGGGAAAAGGCGGTGGTGAGATGAAGGAGGAGTAGGGTGGGTATGGTGGTTGTCATCATAGTAGCGGAGGTAGTAGAGCTGTCAACTGGGGAGCGGCGGGCGGTGGAGCTGTCAAACTGCAGGGCTGTCAAATGGGGAGCGATGGAACGGTGGAGCTGTCAAACTGTAGAGCTGTCAAATGGGGAGCGATGGAACGGTGGAGCTGTCAAACTGCAGAGCTGTCAAATTGGCGAGCTGTCAGATGCGGAGCTGTTTTTCGGAGTTTGAGACGAATCGGGGGTTGGTCAGCCTGGTCGGTTGCTGGGATGAGTTCGGAGGTCCAGTGGGTTGGTGAATGCGGTCGAGCTGGTCCGGTCTGTTGGGCCCGATTCGTGCCCCGAGCTGGTCCGGTCTGTTGGGCCCGATTCGTGCCCCGAGCTGGTCCGGTCTGTTGGGCCCGATTCGTGCCCCGAGCTGGTCCGGTCTGTTGGGCCCGATTCGTGCCCCGAGCTGGTCCGGTCTGTTGGCCGTCCTCCGTGTCGGGGTCGAGGAGTGGTGGTTGAGGTGGAGTGCAGTATGGTGATTCGTCTGCGGCAGGTTCGGGTGGAAGAGCAGGTTTGCAGCGGGTGTGGTGCAACCAGGCTGTCTTTTCTGCTACCTTAACGGAAGTCGGAGTGGTTAAAAGTACTTGGTAGGGGCCCTCCCACGTGGGCTGTAGGGGTACCTTATGGTAAGTTTTAGCTAATATCCAGTCGCCTGGTTTGTACGGGTGGATGTTTTCATCTAGGGGGATGTTTTGGCCTGAGGCTGCATACCTGTGGAGAGTTATGAGTTGTTTTTGGAGTTGTATTACGTATTTAGTTAATTCTGACTCGCCTACCTCTAGTTCTGATGTTGGAAATTGGGTGTTATACACGGGGGAGGGTCGGCCGAATAGCAATTCATAGGGGGATAGTTTTAGGTTCTCGCGTGGGCAGGCTCTCAGGTTATGCAAGACTAGTGGAAGAGCATTAACCCATTTGATGCCAGAGTCCTTGCAAAGTTTTCCTAGCTGTATTTTAAGCTGCTGGTTCATTCTTTCGACTTGACCCGAGGAAGGAGGGTGGTATGGGGTATGTAATTTCCATTTGATTCCTAGGGCACTGGCGACTTGTCGGATTATGTCCGAGGTAAAGTGTGAACCTCTATCGCTGTCTATGTGCCTAGGCACTCCGAACCGGGGTATGATTTCTTGGATGAGGATTTGTGCGACGATGTGTGCAGTTGTCCTGCGAGTGGGGAAGCATTCTATCCACCCAGTCAACTGATCAATGATTACCAGAGCATGCCTGTAGCCTTGACACGGGGGTAGGTCTATAAAGTCTATCTGAAGGCTTTCAAATGGGACGAAAGCCCATGGTCTAGCCCCTGATGGACATCTGGCGGAATGCTTTGGATTAAAGCTCTGACATGTGTGACAGTTCTTCACAACGGTTTTGGCAGCAAGAGCTAAACCTGGAGCATACCAGCAGCGTTGCATAGTGTCAATAAGTTTTTCTCTTCCCCAGTGGGTGAGCTGGTGGAGAATTCTTAAATGTTTAGGTACCCACAGTCTGGGCATTATAAGTCTTTTATCTGGGAAGTACCAGACCCCTTTGTCAAAGTGGGCGCCTTGTTCCTCCCATCCCTTGATCTCCCCTGGGGTAGCAGTCTGATACATTTCGGCGAAGTTTATATCTGATGGGATTTGGGGTCCCTGGAACTCATTGTCGGCGGAGAAGGGTTGAAGGGCTGCTTCTTGCGCTGCGCGATCAGCACATCTGTTTCCTATCGAGATGAGGTCCTTCCCTTTGGTATGTGCTTTGCAATGGACTACTGCAATAGCTTCGGGGAGGTGGATGGAGTCCATGAGGCGTTGTACTAGGGGGGCATGTGCGATTTGGGTACCCGCGGTAGTCAAGAAACCCCTCTGCAACCAGATCTGGCCGGTTGCATGTACTAGTCCAAAGCAATATTTTGAATCTGTGTAGATAGTGATTTTTTGTCCTGCTCCTAATTCACAGGCTCTAATTAATGCAATGAGTTCAGCAGCCTGTGCACTGTATCGTGCGTTAACGGGCCGTGCCTCTAGAGTTCCATCGTCAGTGACCACAGCGTACCCGCTTTTGCGTTCCCCTCCCACAACTTTGGAGCTCCCATCTGTGTACAAAACGAGGTCAGGGTCGGTTAGAGGGAGATAATCAAGATCCTCCCTGGGCTTTTCTAGGTGCCGGACTATTTGGGAGCAATCATGATGTGGGGTCCCGTCGTCTGGGAGGGGAAGGAGGGTTGCAGGGTTTAGGGAGTTCACTCGTTTTATAGTGACATTGGATGGGCTGAGGAGAATGGCTTCATATTTGTTTAGGCGCTGGATAGTAAATCGTTGGCATCCTTGCAGGCTGAGTAGGGTAGCGACCGCATGAGGGACGTTCACAGTAAGGTCGTGTCCTAAAACTGTCTCTTGTGCCTTTTCAAGGAGCAGGGCCGCCGCTGCTACAGCTCTGAGGCATCCCACATTCCCTAAGACTGTAGTGTCAAGTTGGAGGCTGTAGTAAGCGACGGGTCTGTTTTTTCCTTGAAATGGTTGTGTAAGGACTCCAGAAGCTACTCCCCTATTCTCATGCACGTATAAAGTAAAAGGTAGTCTGTAGTCTGGGAGTCCGAGGGCGGGTGCTGATCTCAGTTCCCTCTTTATGGATTCAAATGCTTCAAGCGCCTCCGCAGACCATTGTAGTTGGTCTGGGGCATCTTCGTGTGTCATTGCTGTGAGGGGACGGGTAAACTCTCCGTAACGGGGAATCCAAGCCCGGCAGAATCCACTCATTCCAATAAACCCTCTGAGTTGTCTCTTAGTTTTTGGCAAGGGAAGTTTAGTGATTGTTTCGATCCGATCTGTGGTTAGGGCGCGGGTGCCTTTCCCCAAGATGTGACCTAGGTATTTGACTTCCTCCTTGCAATATTGTATCTTTTTCGGAGACACCTTATGTCCCTTGTCTGCTAATATGTTCAGGAGAGCAATGGTATCGTTTCTACACGAGTCCAAGTCCCGCCCGCAGAGTAAGATGTCGTCGACGTAAAGTCTCAGGGCAGAACCTCCCGGTAGGGTCACATCCGCTAAATCTTGGTGTAGGATAGATGAGAAAATTGCTGGGGATTCCACATACCCCTGGGGCAACCGGGTCCAAGTTAGTTGTCCGGTCTGCCACGTGAAGGCAAAAAGAAATTGGCTCTTAGGATCTACTGGGATGCTGAAAAATGCGGAGCATAGATCTATGACCGAGTAAACTACAGTTCCCTCCGGTATGGTGCTTAGGAGATGATGTGGATTAGCGACTACAGCATGTCGGGGAATGACGAAGGAATTTACGAGCCTAAGATCTTGTACCAAACGCCATTTGACCGGGTTCGTATTGGGCTTTTTGACGGGGAGGAGAGGGGTATTGCAAGGAGATGCACATGGAACTAGAACTCCCATTTTTAAGAATTCTTCAATCATCGGAGTTAGTCCTTGTATAGCCTCCGGAGGAAGCGGGTATTGTTTAGTGCAAGGAAAAGGTAAATCCTGTCTGTAGTTTACTATCACTGGAGTTGCAGATTTTAGGAGCCCTACGGAGGTCGACTCAGTTCCCCATAGGGTAGGAGAGACATTATTCAGAAGTTCAGGCGGGAGGTCAATATTTTGAGTTTGGGCTTCTTGCAAGACTCCCTGGAAATTAAAGATCGATTCATCCGGCATGTGTAAATAAATGCCTTCTTGACCACACTGTATAGTGGCATTTAGTTTGCAGAGCAGATCCCTTCCCAAGAGGTTTACAGGGCTGGAGGTCAACAGGAAAGTATGGTTTACAGATAGGGGTCCAACCGAGACGTTAGCCGGTTTGGAAAGAGGGCAATTTCGGGGGATTCCGTCCAGTCCCATTACAGTTCTGGTTTCTTCCCCTGGGGTTAGATGGCTACCAGTAAGGGTAGAGTAGGTGGCCCCAGTGTCTAAAAGGCAATTGTAGGTTTGTCCATCGACTTGCATGGTACAGATTGGGTCTGAGGACGATAGTCGCAAGACGGGGCAGAGAAAGGGGAAAGGGTCGGGACCTGCTCCTAGTTGTCAATACGATTGGTATTCATCCATTACCATTTCGTGAGCTGGGTTTGTGGAGCGATTGGCCGGTTTAAAGGGATTAGTAGGATCTTGAGGATGGTTCCTAGGTCTAGGTTGAGGAGGGGGAGGACCGGCGCGGTGTTGCGGTTGGATCACTGTTGAATTGTGTCCATAAGGGGGGTCTGATCCTCTGGGTCTGGGGTAGGCAGGGTCCGGAAAATCCGCTCTGGACAGTTTTCTGTCGCCAAACTCAGGTTCTATCGTGTCAGTCAGGTAGGGGCAAAATTTCCGGATGTGTCCCTTTCGTTCGCATTTATAGCAAATACGGTTGTCCCTTGGGTCGGGTCCCCATTGTTTATCCTTGTAAGGGGGGACCCCTCCCGCATAAGCCAATACTCGCGGTGAATCGGGTTTCTGATCCTTTTTCCTTCGTTCGTCCCTAGAATTGAACACTGATTTGGCGATGGAAAGAATCTCGGTTATAGTCTTCCCATCGTATCCCAGGTGGGAATTCAAGGCTTTCCGTATATCTGCTGTAGCCTGGTCCTTGAAAAAACCCTTGACTATGACTTCATGTTGGGTATTGTCTGGGTCTATCCCACCCCACGTTTTGATAGCCGAAACTAGTCGGGTGTAATAGTCAGACGGGTGTTCCTCTGGCCCTTGGAGGACGGTCTGGACTTTAGTCCAGTTTACAGTTCGCTGACCAGCAGCTTTAATTCCATCTAAGATGGCCTTTTTAAAGATCTTTAGACCCCATATCCCATTGTCCGTATTATAATCCCAGTCCGGGTCATTGAGTATCGTTTGAGCAGTCAGTGGGGTCATTGCGGCAGGACGATTTGGTTGATAACCTTCCCGGGTTAGAGCTTCCCCCGCCTTCGCCAGTATCTCCCTTTTTTCTGCCTCGTTGAAGAGGGCCCCAAGTAACATATGCACATCTGCCCATGTAGGATTGTGAGTAGAGAAAATGGTGGCCACCTGGCGGTGACATTTATCAGGGTCGTCCCTTAAAGAGGGCATTTTGTCCGACCAATTCATCAAATCGGAAGTGAGGAAAGGTTGATGGGTGAAAACCATGCGAGGTGGATCTCCAGCTCTGGCTGGCGGTATGGGCAATGCTCGCAAAGGGTAGGCACCTTCTACTTCTCCGTTTGACGGAGGGTCCCTGTTTCGGGTCCTGCTGGAGACGGGGCCCTCCGTGTCTCCGTTTAGTAGCTGGCCGTTGAACAAGGGCCCTAGATCTAAGTCCGGTTCGTCTCCCCTAGAGCTTGGCGTGCCGGTGGTGGGGTTAGGTGGTTGTGCACTCGGCAAGGCTTGGGACGGGGCAATGGTGTTATTGGCTGCGCTTTCCCTTGGTCCTCCACCTCCCCCACCAGCTCCTGTCCCTGATCCCGACGGTTGGGGAGCTCGTGGCCCAGGGTAGTAGAAGGGGATGAGGCTCCTGTCCAATTGTTCTTCCTGGGCTCTAATCTCATCATAAGGGGGAGGTCCGGTTGTCTTAAGAACAGCCATTTGTCGGACGATTCGAGCCTGCTTTTGTTGAAACAAGTCACGGGCTTCGACGAAAGCGTTTAGGTAATAGAGCTGGCGGGGTTTTTCATCAGCCAAATATGTCTTAAGTGCTTGTATCCTCTCGATGTTAAAGGACCCGTGGGGGGGCCATCTTGAGGCCGGTTCTAAATGGTGGGTAAATGCGACCCACGAGATGTTACAGAGATCCCTCAGCTTCGACTTTGAGAGTCCCTTTCTCCCTCTCAATTCCTTCCAACTAAGGAGAACAAATTGTAGAGGGGTATCGGAGTCCTCTCCAGGGCGGCAAGGCTTCATAGATGCCTGGTCACCGGGAGGAGCCCAGTCAGAGTGTTGGGATGCGTGGGCACCCATCGCTCTACTGCTTACTAGAGTTAGGGAAGACGCACAAACAGAGGGAGGGCAAGAACGAGACCACAACACACACACATACAGAAGGGAAAAGGGGAAAAATAATATTCTTTCAGTAATTAAGGTACCTCTATTATTTCTACTTAACTCAGACCTGCCTATCCCTTGACTGGATTCAACTTAGACCTTCACGACCTCAAACACTAAACCTTATTCCACGGGTCTCTCACTCCACCCGTCACACAACAGCGGATCCTTACATCACATTTTACACAACTGGTCCTAGTGCGGGGCCCCAACCCGGGTTCCGCCCCTCTCCCTTCACGACAGCCTCCTGCCTAGCCTTTGGGACTAAGTTCGAAATCTCCTACTGGACGCTTGCGCAGTGCAATGCCAGATCGGGATCCGAGAAAAGTCAAGTATGGAAAGGAAACAAACGACCTTGCGTTCTCACGTACCCGGGTCATCCCTAACAAAGGTCGCCGGGCAGGAGGGGCGGCTTCGTTTGCATAATTAGCAGAAAGAAGGATAGAGAGAGAGAGAGAGAGCTTTGAGGGACGCCTCCAGACGACTCCGAGGGATGGGCGTCAGAGAAAGACAGTAAAGAGCCACGCTTTCCCGGACTTATTTCCAAGACGGAAAACGGGGGAGAAAAGGGATAGTGAGATCAAGACGTTCCTGGACGACCCCGAGGGGGAACGTCGGAAAACAGTAAAGCACCACAATTTCCCCGGTCACGGACCGCGTAAGAACTTGGGGAAGAGAAAGGGAAAGGTTTCGACGTTCCTGGACGACCCCGTGGGGGAACGTCAGATAGTGTAGTTCCGCGACCTCCCTGGCCACTTTCCGAAGGGTGAGGATCGGGGAGAAAAGGATAGAGGAAGGACGTTCCTGGACGACCCCGTGGGGGAACGTTGGAAATGATAGAAGGAAAGTCTGGCTGTCGTGAGGATGCTATTTTTTCCACCCCCCTCCCAATGTATTTTCTTCAAACCATACTCACGTTCGAAGATGTCCCCCGCAGATCCCGGGATCCTTTCTTTAGCCGGCTTTACCTCGCCTTTGCTCTCTCTGGTTGGGCTTTTGGTGACGGTTGATTACCGCCCACAAAGAGGAGGCAGGGAGAGGAAAAAAAGGATCCCCGAGCTAAGGTTGCCCGGTGGCGCCCGATCCCCTCTATCTCCCCCCTCACCTCTGTAGGAGAACCAAGTGTCCCTTCGTGGTCGCCAAAAACTGTTACCGGACAATCCGAGGGTTCTCTTGGACAAACAAAGACACCGACCAGAGCAAGTCAGAGCAAAACAGCAGCCAGTAGGCTTGGTCTTTATTAATAAAAGACTGTCGCGACAGGACTCCCACCGCCCACGAGGTGAAGCAAGATGGAAGCCCTGAACAATGGGAGACCCTAACTTTTATTAATCACTAATCCCCTTGACTACACCCCCAGAATTACATCATATTTACATCATGATTTTATTAAGGAACAGGAGGAGTCGGGGAGGAGTTTCCAGGTAATCCGAGCAGCCTGTCACCTGGCAGTGACCTCCTCTCCCCCCTCCCCATAAGTCATTCTCAGAAACAAAGGAAAGGGCGAAGTCTTCCTGCCCCCTGGGGGGGGTCCGGCCAGAGCCCTTTATTCGGAGTCATGTGGAATACACTACCGTATGCAGTCTATTGTGTTTCTGATGGGATGCTGTCTGAGCCCTCCTGATGGCTATCAAGGATGTCCCGCCATCCGGAGAAGGGCAGCTTGGTACGTGACTGCGCGGTTCAAGGATTATGGCCGATCAATCCGAATCCACCCCCCTTTGATAGTTCTTATAATATGCAGTGTAATAAAAGTGGTCCGGTGGAAATCCATAGTACGGCTGATTTTTGGTGAATTTGTAAAGAATACAGTCACTGAAGTTCAAAGCACTTCCCTTCTCGGAAACAACTTGCAACATTTTGATTAGATCAGTCACGGTCAATTTAACTCGGAAACAATGTATTGAGAACTGTCAAAAGGTGAGGGAAGAGACGCTCGCAGCCTGCAGTACCAGCGTGGCCGCCGCAAGGGGCGCTGTTCGACAATGCTGATTGGCTGAGGCGGCTGCCGTTTGACCTAGAGTTCGGTCGTCCGGTCTACTCTCAAAAAGGATAGGGCGGCGCGGAGCGCTAAAAGCCAAAAGCTGTCAAGCTAGCGCTTCCTTATTTACGGAAGGCTTTTAAGAGATGGCCCTCTAAAGGGACATCTCTTGGGTCAGGAAGGGGGGATACGGGTACGTGTGGATGCGGTGCTTGTGCAGTACGTGTTACTGAAGGGGGGGGGTGATTTCCGGCGACACAGGAGAAGGAAAGAAAAAAGAAAAGGGGGGGAGGGAATCCAAATTGGCTCCAAGCCAAAGGCCAGGCGGAACAACTCTGTCTTACAGGCCCTGCGGAAAGAAATCAGATCATGCAGGGCCCTGGTCTCATGAGACAGAGCGTTCCACCAAGTTGGGGCCAGTGCTGAAAAGGCCCTGGCTCTGGTTGAAGCCAATCTAACTTCCTTAGGGCCTGGGACCACTAGGGTGTTGTTATTTATGGACCTTGAGGCTCTCCGTGGGGCATACCAGGCGAGGCGGTCCCGTAGGTACGAGGGTCCTAGGCC